CCCATAGAAAATAACTAGTGTTGTGAGCTAGGTTCCTCCCCCCTCTGCCCCCACCAGCAGCAACAGACTTTCCACCACTTCTTGTAAATGTCTTTATTCTACATAGAAGTCTTTAAGAATACACAAAGCAAAAGTTGAAACCTCTCTGCCTCTGTTCATCCAAAGCTTTGCTTATGAACACTTCTGAGCCTGTCTTGAGAAGGAGGGTTCTGTGAAACCAGAGAACCCAGTTGGGCCACCCTGCAGATGTGACAAAGGAATTCTGGCTCCATCTTCTCAGGAGGCTGGAGTTCTCCATCTGAGAGACTCCCCATCTCTAAATCCCTCCCCCCCAATGTTGTTGTTCTTTCCCACAAGTGGGTTGACTAGGCCCCTGTTCTGTTCTTGAAATAATCTTGTGCTGAGCAGGCACAGAAGAGACTACAGCTGGGACCATGTGCATTACAACAACCATTTTGTTATCAGAATCCATGCTGTCAGGCCTGCCAGAGTCAGTCAACTCCCCTTCATATATCTCATCATCAGAGTCTGAGCTGTCAGCCTTGCTAAAACTGGCAGTTTCTCATGTGTGCCTGGGAATCTTACCAGAATGCACATGCACAACAACTTATATCTTTAAAAGTGACTTACCAATCCCTCATTATCTTCTGAAGATCTCTGATAATGGGCTGCTAGGGCAATATAGTCCAGTGCCTGCTTATTAAATTCAAAACACTTTAATCCATGGCAAATTAGGCTCAATGGATCTATGTACACAGGCTGAGCATTTCTTCGGATTCTAGTTCCTGATGGAGGAACAAGGATTATGCAAAAGAGGGAGCAAATGTGTTGTTTGAGGTGTTGAAGAGCTCATTGGAGAAGGTAAAAACACTTGGTCAAAGGAAATGAGTTTTTGTGACTATCTCTATGGAACTACACAGCCACTGATGATGTGTCACATAGTTCCCTAGTGACATTCCCAGAATTTCATGAGAGATATTCATATAGGCTTTATGCCAGTCCACACATTTGTAAGTACAGGTTGTTCATAACCTAGATGTTTGTAACCCAGGGACTACCAGTACTTTTATAGATTTGCAACATGCTAAAACAGGGAGCTATACTCAGATAGGGATGACATTATTGGTTCTTGCAACAGCATTGCCAAATTAGATGTGAGGTCAAGTTGATACCCGTGGTTATAAATACTGGATACAGTGCCTACCAACCCCAAAGGTTATGCCATAAATAAGAATGTTTGAGAAAACAGCAATGGGTTCAAGTGAGTTTAGATTTCTATGAATTTGACCTCTGGATCTGGCAGCAGACCAGCTTTTTCTGAATCATGCAGTTCTACATATGTGTATCAGATGCTTTACTCTGGGGTTGCATTCATCCTTCCTTGCACAAGTGGAATGAAGTCTGGAGAGATCCTTAAAAATAATCTAATTTTCTGACTGTCTAGATGATGGAAACTGCTTCAGATCCTAACAACACAGCTCTAAAGCCATGGAGGATAGATCCAGTCATAATAAATAAATGAAACTTTCATGATCGGGGCAGTGCACCTTTGAATTCCAGTTGCTGGCAGGAAATAAGCAACTTGTAGGCTCTTAGTTTCACGCCCTGCTTGAAGCACCTGAAAGGACATTACTAGAAAGGAGATGCTAGACAAGATGAATTCTTGCGTTGATCCAGCAGAATTCTTTTTTATGTTCTGCCACAAATCCTAGTAAATCAGAACATAAGAAAAGCCATGCCAGATCAGACCAAAGGTCCACCTAATCCAGCACTCCATACACATAGTGGCAAACCAGCTACCCACAGGCTCCCTCAAGCAGGTTTGATACAAGAGCTCTGCCTACCCTCAGCAACTGATGTATGCAGGCATGCCACCCCTGGAAAGGAGGTAACACATAGCCAGCAAGGCTAGTAGCCACTGATAGCCTCCTCCCTCATGAATCTGTCCAATCTCATTTTTAAGCCCTCCAGATTGGTGGACATCACTTCCAGTGGCAATGAATTCCACAGTCTAACGATACACTGTGTGAAGAAGTACAGTGGTACCTTGGCTCATGAACTTAATCCGTTCCACGACTCTGGTTGCAACCCAAATTGGTTGTGAGCCAAGTCAAATTTCCCCACAAGGTTCAATGTAAATAAGGTTAATCTGTTCTGTAACTATTTTTTTTTTTTATCCCTGCCATCTCTCGCCCCCCAGCGATCATGCTTGGGGGGGGGGGAGATGGCCATGATTGTATTAAGGGGTGGGGGGGGAAACTGGCAGATCGTGGGCACAATGGCAGGGGGACTGGAGCGTGATTGTGGGAGCGCTGGGGGATACGGGCACGATCGTGGTTATCTCCTCCCCTCAGCACGACCGCAATCACACCCATGCAGGGAAGGTGGGTGCGATCGCGATCGTCACCTGATGCAGAGTTTGCGACCTGAGGCAAAATTTTTATGAAATTTCTGTTCACGACCTGATTTGGTTGTGAACTGAGGCGTTTGTGAGCCAAGGTGCCACTGTACTTCCTGTTATCTGCCCTAAACCTCCCACCAATCAGCTTCATGGGATGCCCCTCTAGAGCAGAATGTCTGGCCACAAAAGCTAAAGCAATACTACGACTTTGAGAAATTCATATATAGCCTAAGTCAAAATGTTCTGTCCACTTGAGGGCAGCAGTGCAGAGCTCTTTTACAGAATAATTAATACCATTTAAAAACGCAAAATAAGATTAATTTAGCTATTTTGATTTAGTATATGTTTGGATATAAGTATGCATTGTTTTTATAGCAAACAATGCCTGCTAACTGGAACCTACTGACAATAGTACATAAACCATACTCTTATATGATTTTTAAAACCACATCATCAAAATAGAATCCCACAGAAATAATTGCCACATCCTTTTGCAGAAGCACTTAAGGCCTGTTATGTTTTAAAGGGATGTAGAAAGTTGCCAGGAAGAGGGGCAATCATATTTCCATTGGGAAGAAGTTCCATAAGCCAGCAACAACCACACAGAAATCTTTGCTCTGTGCTGCTGCCAGGAGACGAGGTCCTTGGAGTACTTAACATATGAAAGCCATGGAGGAACCCCCAAGCCTCACACTCACAAGAGTGTGTTTGCTTCTCATATAATTTTTTGACATACTAGTTTGTCCACAAACTTAGAGATAAAACTAATACTTGCTGTGTAAGCATGCTACTTGTTCAAGTCTCCTCAAACAGGTAACATTCTTAATTGTTTATGAGATTATTAGAGAGATCTTTACATACATTTGCCATCTGAGACTGAAATATAAAGTGAGATCCATCTGAGACTGGAATATACTCAGCTCACGAATGCCTCAGTTCATGACCAAATCGGGTCATGAACAAAAATTTCATAAAAATTTTGACTCAGGTCATGAACTCTGCATTGGGTGGCGACCCCGATCGTGGCCATCTCCCCCCACCTCCACCCCCCAGTGGGGAGATGGCTGAGATTGCAGTTGCACTCATGCAGGGAAGACAGGCACGATCACGATTGTGCTCGGGGGGGGGGGGGGAGATGGCCAAGATCATGCCTGTCTTTCCTGCACGAGTGCAACCGCAATCTCGGCCATCTCCCCACCAGCACGATCGCGCCTGTCTCCCCTCGAGCTCTCTCACGGTTGCAAACGTCTCTCTCCAAGCATGCCCATGATCACGCTTCCCCATCTGAGCATGCCCGTGTCTCCCCTCCCCCCAGTGTGCCTGAATGTGCAAGGATGATGGGTGTGATCACGGTTGTGCTGGGGTAGGGGAGATGGCTGTGCTCAGGGTGAGCGGAGATGGCCGCGATCTTTGTTGTTCTTTGTCACTTTGCTTCAAGTTTTTCTGATTAAAAAAAAAAAAATAGTTACAGAACAGATTAGCCTTATTTACATTGAAACTTATGGGGAAATTTGGCTTGGCTCACAACCAATTTGGGTCATGACCAGAGTCCTGGAATGGATTAAGTTTGTGAGCCAAAGTACTAGTGTAGTTAGGAAGAACAGAGCACATTTCACACCCATTCCTTCACAGATAGTAAAGCTGCAGTCGTGTTCACCACTACTGGTTCCTTATCTGGCCTTCCATCCTCTTTCCCAGGCCCTAACTTCTCTTCACAGACAAAAGGCTTTTTCCTCTGGTCAGCAGCTGATTGGAGATACTGCTCATGGAAAATGCCTGCTTCCCAGCACTGAGAAAGACGTCCTCTCTAAGTACGGGGATAGGGGAAAGGACATATATCTGATCTGCTGTCCTCTTTCTGCATGTAGGAGGAAAAATGCCCATTCTGCTGTTGTTCATGGATCACCTCAAGATGTAGTCCTGGAAAGGGAGTGTATGTCTGTATGAGTGCACTATGTATCTCTGTGAAAATCCACCAGTGGTCCCACCCACTTTGGGTGGCAGCCCCATCAACTGCTGGATGCAGCTGCAAGGACCAATTTGGCCATCTCACCAGAAATGTTTCTCCACACCTGGTATACACACTTACCTAGAAAAAAGGCCCACAAAAGGCCCACAACATACAGTGAGTTACTTCTGAGTAAATACGAATAGAGATGGATTGCATGTTTTAATATTATGTATAGCAAAAAATGGGTAGAAAATGTTTGCTCAGCATTAAACTCTCATTTTTAAAAAGTCTGCTGGAATTTAAAAATACTGAAACAAAAATGGCACCAGCAAGATCTTAACTGTTAAATGGATTGCTAGTGAGCTATCAGACTGATGCTTTCAGCTGACTGGAGAAAGTAGTTTAAACTCACAGTTCAAGTAAGTAGTTTAAACTCTTACTAGTGAAACAACTACTATGCATTTAAACTACTTTTACTTCTCTTAAAGCTTCACTAGCATTCTAAAGCTTTGTTTATATAAAACATTGATATCCACTTTTTTAGCCAGAGTTTTTTATCCAGAAAATCAAGGAACCCATTTATACAAACAAAGAGTGACAATACTGCTGCTACTACTTAACTTCCATACTCCTGTATGCGAGACTAACCTGTAAGTCTTTCCAGAGCATCGAATCCATGCTTCAAAGCGATGATGTCAAGGAAAGAAACTGTCCCATCCTCAAACCTACATGAAATCAGATTGAGATCAGCTGTTTGAAACAATTCATATAATTTTTCATACATATTTGAAAATTATTTAGCAAAAATGATTTCCAATGTACATCTACACAAATTCTCACGTGAGCCTGAAACATAGCCACACTCCCTCCCCTCCATGTTGCTGAGTGGCTGCCTACTTCCTTCCAGCCTCTGAAGCCAGTTGCCACACTCCTTTGTGACATTTCCAGGAACAATTCATGGTTACCACGACAACCCCAAGATCCCAGGGTGCAACTCAGCTGAATTACTGAATGAAGGGATCTGGAGAAGAGTTCATCAGGAGTGTCCAGCCATTTTAGAGAGCAAATTCTATTCCACTGGGGCAAGGCTGTGAAGAGAAGAGCAAGGAGGCAGAAAAAAAAGAGATGAGGAGAGAGAAAGTGCACTGCAGTGAGAGTGAGGATAGAGCAGGCATGTGAGGCAGTGTCTGAAAGAGTGCTGAGGGAGAGAATATCTGGGGTGGCTGAAAAGAGCAAGGGTTGGGGGAACTAGAGAGGCTGGAGTACCAGGAATATGCTGCCATCCAGGCCAGCACAACCAGGAAGAGGTGGAGCTAGGAAGAGAGCAACCTTAGAAGAGTAGAAGAAGACGGGTAGAAGGAAGCCCATTAAGGTCTTGTCTGAACATATCAAATCATTTGGAGGTATAATATGCATACAGGCACGTTATATAATAAAATAAGTAGGTCAAAAGTACTGAGTAGTTGGCAAGCCATCATTCAGCACCTAACTTGTTATTATTGGGAGATGTAGTCAAACATTCAAGGCAACCTAACAGGATTTTTGCCAGAGCCAATTAGAAAAAGATATCTTTAACCAAAGTTATTATTTTCTTCTCTGATTTTTTGCTGCAAGATTTTAGTTTATGAGTCATGGAATACCTCAGAGGAAGAACTAGAATTGACAATTGACAATTGCATACACCGAGGAAGACTGTATTTATATTAATACTGAAGGAAGTAACTCAGTGATTAAGAAACAGAGAGGCAAACAACCAAGCCATAAAGCCTGTCTGAAGGAATGTGGAGGGGAGAAAAAGAAAAAGTTTTCTTTGTGAGCCACCCCGAGGCTTCGGCGATGGGTGCGGCATAGAAATGTTATAAATGAATAAATAAATTGGCTTGAAAGAAAGTTTGCTACTTCCTATCTCATCCTCCCAGTAGTTTTATGAGAAGGGGGGTCGTAGAACAAAGTAAATTAGAGAGGAGTGAACTAATGAACTTGTAGTTATAAGCACGCAGGTATAATACATTGATGAACATGAACTTGCACACCTTGACTAGACAATGGGCTAATCATAATGCACATGTGATGTATGTAGATGTAGGTAGTGGGATGAGATGGGAGATACGAAGTAGGTGGACAAAAAGACTGTACCCCCTTAGTACCTCGTCCAATGAGGGAATTGGGAGGGCTATGGCGGCCACGTTAGGGCACAAAAGGAGATGATTTGTGTGTTTGTGCTTTGGACATATTCTGATACGACGGGCTCTCCCCATCTATTGCAATAAATAAAGGGATCACCTCAGTAGCCTTGGTTATTTAACTTGAGGAGAAGTATTTTCACAGTTTTTTGCATAACAATACTATTTATTCTTATTGTTTATTTCATTTCTATACCACTCCCACAGCCAAAGCTCTCTGGGTAGTGTACAACGATAAAACACCCCATAAAAGAAAGGCAGCATTAAAGTAGTAAAAATAGCTCAAGCATACAGTAAAAATGGCCCTGTAAAAGGAAAAAAATCACCTGAGATGGCTAAATCCCCTCAAGGGTAGCACAGTAAATCTTTAAAGCCTTTGGCATGAAGGGCCGTTGTAACCTGGCACCAAAAAGATGACCAATTTGGCACCAGGTGGGCCTTGGGAGAGGCTGCTCCAAAGATCCACCCTCCACGCTTCCCTTAGAAGTTTCCACCCTCCACACTTCCCTCAGAATTGGCATTTTGAAGAAAATCCTAGAGGAAGGGTCCTCAAATTTTTTAACCAGGGGGCCAGTTGAAAGGTACCAGTGCTGGGAGTGGACTGGACAGGTGGTGTCAGCGGTGCATGCGGGCTGGCACAGGGGTGGGGGCAGTGCATGTGGGCATGCACGCTGAGGCGGGGTGAGGGGAGGCGAAGCGAGGCGGGGGCACGAGGCAGTGGCTTGTTCACTTGGAGATCATTTTCTCCAAGTGAGCAAACCGCTGCCTCCCTGCACATGGGGCGAGATGGACGGCAGCAGGTCCAAATCCAGCTCCCAGGACATAGTTTGAGTACCCAAGCCCTAGAGGCTGAGCATAGTGTCCAAGTAGATCACGGAGGGGAGATGTGTTCTGACAGGTATTGTGGTCCCAAGCTGCTTAAAACAATGAAAACCTCTAACCAAATCAGTAGGTAAAGTACCCACAGAGCTGAAAGGCTTATTTAATATGGAAGTAATTATTTAACCATTTGACAGACAGCAATTAGCAGTATGAAATAAAACAATGGAGAATGCAGCATGAATAAGAATTAAAGTCCCAATATTGGGACCAGGTAGAATGCAAATGTAAATGTAATAATACTATAGAATCTCTCTGTGTTCTCCAACATGGTACCTACAGACACGCAGACATAGCAATTAGGCTGAAAAAGTCCTGTCTGTATCAATGGGAGCTTTTTCCCAAGTTTAACTGCTACACAGTGTGTATGTGTTGGGGGCAGGAAATACTCATGGAGACTGGGGTGCGTGCACATGTATGTGTGTGCAAAGGGTCAAGATGATGCTTCCCTCCCTAAATGCAATCTCAGTGAGGACTGACACCTTCCAAATCTGTTCAATCCAGCTCCTATTCCAAACTCACCTTAGTAAGAGGTGAACAGTCTAAGAAAGAAAAGACGAGGAAATCTGAGATAGTAAACCTGCATCTGGGAGAACAGCTTAAGAACCACATAACTGATTGCTCTACAACACAGACACAAAAATTCCTTTTGCAACAAAACCTAGGGGGGAAGCTTCTAGTCCAGCGTTCTCAACATGCTTGTCTGTTACTTGGAGAAATTCTTTTGTATGCAAGAGCATTCAGTCAAGTAAGGTTCTATCATAAAAACATAAAAAAAGCCATGCTGGATCAGATTAAGTACCATCTAGGCCAGCACTCCATACACATGGTGGCAAACCAGCTGCCCACAAGATCCCTCAAGCAGGACAGATGCAAGACCTTTGCCTGCCCAAGCATCTCAGCAACAGGTGTATGCAGGCATGCATCTCTGGTAAAGGAGATAGCATGTATCCACTGAAAGCCTCCTCCCTCATGAATCTGTCCAATCCAAATTTCAAAGTAATCCAGACTGGTGGCCATCACCACTTTCAGAGTCAGTGAACTCCATAGCCTAACTGTATGTTGCGTGAAGAAGTCCCTCCCACCAATCAGCTTCATGGGATGTTCCTGAATTCAAGTGTTATGGGGGGGGGGGGAATGGCTCCCTCTTCACTTTCTCCATACCACCCAATATGTTAAACACTTCTATCCTGTCTCACTTTCTCACCTTTATTCTAAGCTAAATAGTCCCAATTGTAGCTGTTTCTCATAGGGGAGTTGCTTCAGCCCTCTGAACATTTTTGTTGCCCTTTTCTGTACTTTTTCCAACTCAGCAATGTCCCTTTTCAGGTAAGGTAACTAGAACTGAACACAATATTCCGAGTGCAGTTGAATCAAAGATTTATATAAAGAGAGTAAGATTTTGGCAGTTCTATTTTCTATTCTGTTCCTAACAGAGTTTGCATTTTTCATGGCAGCTGTACAGTGGGCCAACATTTTCATCAAGTTGTCCAATAGTATCCCCAAGATCTCTTTCTTGCTCAGGCACTGCTAGCTCAGATCCCATCAGAGTATACTTGAGGTTGGGATTTTTTGCCCCAACACACATAATTTTACACTTTTTTAGCCTAAACTGCATTTGCCATTTTGATGCTCATTCTCCCAGCTTGGAAAGATCCCTTTGGTGCTCCTCAAAAACTCTAGTTTTAACCACCCTAAACAGTCTCTACTTCACTACTTACTCCAAATCATTTATAAATGGGTTGAAAAGCATTGGTTCTAATATAGAACTCTGTAGGACTCCACTGGTTACATCTCTCCCCTGGGACAAATTGCCATTTATTCTCACTGACTTGTATTCTTTAACCAGTTAGTGATTAAACTGGTTAAAAAGGTATTAAGGGAAAAGGTATTAAAAGCCAGTATTTCTGGACATGTGAAGATCTGAAAATCCCCCCAAAAGAGGTGGGTAGTGAGCACAAAAATTTTTTGAGGGAAGAGAGAAGTCCTTTCCCCATTTTTTCCAAAAATCCCTGGGTGAAAAACATTCACTACTTTTTTGCCCCTCCCTTCCCATGTAGGACTTCACATAGTCACTTCATAGGTACTTATCCATTTTGGACCATTGTTTACCCAGCTCCTACCTGAACATGTTTTTTTTTTGGCTTGGGACTCTACCAGCATATTACTAAATAATACATTTTAAATAATAGGTGCTAGAAGAAAACAAATCCACTTATTCCAAAATGGTTCCATTTATCTATGTTTGTTGGTAGACATTTACCCCAAGGCTGAGCTCCAACACCTGAGGATGGAAAAGATCGTTTGATGTTCTTCTTTCAGCATTTCATATGTGGGATACATGTGCTGCACCCTTTTTCTTCTTTAAAGAAGTATCTGATAAATCCCCCACCCACCCAGTCCTTACATCCCCACAAGGAAGACCCCTAACAAGGCACAAGTGTCCATTCCTCAGACAGTCTTAATTTGAAATAGTTACCTTAATCCTTTCTGTAGTCTTTGAACAAAGTCTCAGAAGGGACTAAGTAAATTAATTAAAATAGGAATTGTTAAAATTCTAATCTCTGTAGACAAAGAAACCTCAGGTCACGCACACTCCTAAATGCTAAATGCATTGGTAGATTTCAAGGAAGATACTAAGAAGAGATTGTCATAAAGAGTCA